GCCCCTAGTTGCTCTACCCCTCTTGCTTTCCATCCAGCTGCGTGGAGACCGCCTATCACCGATCACCTCGAAGGGGTCTGGACATCAAATTGATATGCCTTCCTTTGCCTACTCTGCTATGAGTTGCCAATTTTGCATTTTAAATAAAACTTTACATGAATGTTATACTTAGTCTAGCACCCCTCTGCTTCTTTCCACTTTTGTAATCTTTCTTCCAGGTGTTTGAGTGTGTTGTTGAGTGCAGTTGTATGGAGAATTCATAGATTTTTTTGTTTTTTGCAGCAAGCACAGTTTTAGAAACACTTTTCACATAAGATAACATTTGGCATCCAGATCAGCATAAACAGTAGCAAGGTCACCTCAAGTGCAGCTGCTGCCAGAACACTTTAATGGCTCCGATGCTAGTCCCAGAATGACTGGGTATGCACTTCCCAAAAGAAAAGGAGGATAGTAGCAGAATGGGCTGCGAAGCAAAGGAGACTTGCAGAATAATTATTATGGGAGGAGCAGTCCTTTGAGTTGTTCTTCTGCCAGCTATCGTCAGGGCCCTTTAAGAATGTCAGTACACTTAATCACATTCCCAGTTAACCTGCACACAGTATAGGTACAATGTACGTACAGTATAGTCTCGGCACAGGTGCAAAGTAGATGTGGTTCAGTTGCAGCAAAGGCTGGGTATAATGCAGTTTAGGGTTGGTATAGGTGCAGTCTAGCTTTGGAATAAGTGAGGTATAGAGTGCACTATCGGTGTGGTATGGATTGGGTACACGTGGTGTCCTGCTCTCAGTCCCTGCTAGAGGCCCATTCACAATGGGTGAATTGCCCTCTCATCAGTCCCCAGGATGCTGTGGTGACCTCTTGCTATGGAAAGGGTCCCCCTTGCTCTCTCTCTGAAAGCCTCCAGTGATCAGCAGAGGGACGTAGAAGGTGAGTGGACACTCCAGTCTCCTTGCAGCAACGGTGCAGGTCCTGTGATTTGTTCAGTGCTGCACTGCACCTGGGTGTCTTCATTCCCACTATCAGGCTTTGATCTCCAGTGTTATGGTCTCCTGCTGGCAGGCAAGTATCCAGACAGAGATGCTCTCTCTCTCTATCTTTCTCGGTGCCAAGAGGAAGAACTTTCCCAGGCAGTTTAATAAAAATCATATCCCCACTCCTCCTTCTGCACAGTGCTTATTGGGGTCTGTAGTATAAGGAGTCTATTCTTCACATTATATGGCTACTGTCTCAGACCACAACTCCCAGGATTCTCTGAGCTCTGCATTGAAGTCTATGGGCTTACTTGGCTTTAGCTCTCCCCCTGCTGGCAAGAGGAGAATGGTGCAGCATAACATCAGTATCTCAGTAGAGGGAGAGAAGAATAAAAGGCAATGGGGTTAATTTACTAAAACTGGAGTGTACAAAATCTGGTACAGCTCTGCTTGGAAACCAATCAGCTTTCAGGCTTTTTTTGTCAAAGCTTAAATCAACAAGCTGAAATTAGAAGCTGCTTGGCTACCGTGCACAGCTGCACCAGATTTTGCACTCTTCAGTTTTAGTAAATCAACCCCAGAGTCTCCTTCTCCATATTGCTGTAGCACAGCACCTGTAGCACTAGTTGCGCACCAAGGATTGGTATTCAACGACAGTGACAAAACAGGATTTTTCTAGATATTTACTGTAGCATCTTATAATACAAATCACTAGGTATTCTTTTACCAAGAAATGTATTTCAACAAAACTGACAAAACAGGATTTTTCTAGATATTTACTGTAGCATCTTATAAATACAAATCACTAGGTATTCTTTTACCAAGAACTGCAGTTCAACAAAACTGACAAAACAGGATTTTTCTAGGTATTTACTGTAGTATCTTATTAAAGCAGAATACTAGTTTTTTTTTTCCGAGGAGGATATTTTCAAAGAATTGGACTTCAACGAAACCGACAAAACAGGATTGGTCATTTTTGTAGGCAATTACTGTAGTCTCTTGTAATGCATAACATTGTGTATTATTTACTGAGGATTAGATTTCCTGATACAACATTCAAATTGTAATTTAAAGAGCTTTCAGAACACTCATAGATTTCTTATTGTACAAGTCTTATTAGCATTCCACATTCATCATGTATATGAAAGCAGTGGCATAACAATAGCTATAGCACAACACATCTGTGTACATATGAAGATATCACTTATCCATCACTGTATTATTAAAGTGGTATTATTAAATTTTTGGTTTTGGACTTTTGCGCACAGATGCCTAAAAAAGCCAAGTTTTAGGCATTCATGTGTTGTTGTTTTTTTGCTGCTCTAAATGCAGCACATTGTTTTTAATGGGCTTGTACACACAGGCACATACACCTATGCTGTGTATACATCAGTAAAAATAAATACAAAAATCTGAAATGCTGGACAGTATTTTACAGTATTACATGCACAAATATGTGCGTAGGTGCATATGTCACAACTAACGAAAAGCCAGAAGAGTTTTTAAGCATTTTTTCGCTTATGCGTGGAAATTCACGAATGCACACATTTACTATACAGCTAATCCTTGTGATTTTATGCAGGGACTTTCTGTCAGGAATCTGATGTTCATATATCAGTACAATGTGCAAGTACCCTTTGGGTTTAATAATGGTTTGAGGATTACAGAGGTTGCTGATGACACTGACCCTGTACTCCTGTGACCTTTCCAATCAAGAAGAGTTGTTGTCAGACATACAGGAAGAGGTTTCACAATTGTTGTCACCAGCCACCAATCCCCTTCATATGCTGTGCATTTAGATTTATTGCCCTTAGAGCTGATCATCATCCTGGCGAGCATTGAAATTGATCCTGTAAGTATAATGCAGTCTTCCTCAGGCTGTAAAAATTCCTGCATGTCTTAAAAGATACAAATCTACATTTTTGGAATGCATTTACACATATATGCAAAAATATATGTTAAAATTACTTTTTTATATGTTAAAAAAAATCTGAATTATATATTTAAAAAAATATATATTTTACAAATATATTACTTTTAAATATATTCTTCAGATTTTTTTTTTAAAACGCAACACACTTTACACATACTACAGTACACATAGTTAAGCACACATTTACCTCCTCAATCACCCTAAATGTTAACTCTTTTCCAGCCCAATGTCATTAGTACAGTGACAGTGTACAGTATTATCGCTGATCATTGTGTTAATGTCACTGGTGATGTCAGTGGCATTTATTTTAAATATATTCTTCAGATTTTTTTTAACATTAAAAAAGTCATGTTAACATATATTTTTACATATATTTGTAAATGCATTCCAAAAATATAGATTTGTATTTTTAAGGACATACAGTATATTTGAAATGTATTTTAAAAAATATTTTTCGTATATTTTGTAATAAAAATGCACTTCAACATGCAGTATATATATATATATATATATATATATATATATATATATTGAAGAATATTGAATGTGACCAAAATTGTAGCATTTCAAATATATGGCAATATATTTGGGAAGCATATTTTTAAAATATATTACAAATATATTTTTCTTCCATGAGGGCCGCCCGCCCTGGAGCTGCCGCCTGCTCGCAGTACAATTACTGTGGATGGGCAGCAAGCAGTTAAAGATTTTTTATTAGGAGTCTAGGGTAATTGTGTGCAGAAGTACTAACAATTATGTCCTAATATAAAATATTGTGATGGTTATTGTTATTGCTTCTACAACTCCTTTTTTTTTAATTTACTTCTGTACTTACTTGTGGTGGAATGGCTTTATACTGAGGCCCTGCTGAAAAAGACTGGTTAGCTGCTGAGGATAGAGCGTTTAGCTGGAAATTCATTTTAATGAAGTTAATTTCCTGCGCGAATGCTCCCTCTTCCGTGTTAATGTATGTCCATTACATTGGTCCCTCGTAGTGTACTGACTATACTGACATCTCTCCCACCACCTGTCCTTGATTTAGACATATTTTATATTTAGATCAGGGGTCCCATCAAAATTTTGCAACGGGGCCCCATGAAGTGTAGTTTTGCACCTGCATGAAACCAATTTCTAGCATTGGTCTTGTGTCTAGTGGTAATCCTTCTGTCATGTTGTGGTCACTTTCCTTCTGATCACATAACAGAACCTCTAACTTGTAGGGAGTGACATGACTACAGCCAATCTGTTAACACGAAGGGACTTGACGTGCTGTCACCGGACAAATATATTTTTACTCACCATTACAGACTGTGAACATTCGAGTTTTTCTCTCTTGAACACCATCATTATTTTTGGTCCTATTTACTTAATGAAGGTAGCATGGGCTCCTAGTTGAGCAATATTGGGAATTTTTACTTACTGTAGGTTCGGATTTAAATAAATATGCCATAAATGTGATGTGCCTCCCTCCAATAATAAAGTATAAAAACAATAATCTGCAATCATATATAGCACCGTACATGATATGACAATACAAATATATTATAATAACCTACATTGCCAAATTTCATAAAAGTGTACACAATAATAATATGTACCTTCAAATATCTTCCACAGTCCTTGTGTCATCTCCTTTGTAATTTAACCACTTGCCTACCGAGTCCTTTTACCCCCTTTGTACCCAGGCCAATTTTCAGCTTTCAACACTGTCGCACTTTGAATGACAATTGCGCAGTCATGCAACACTGTACCCATATGAAATTTTTAGCATTTTTTCACACAAATAGAGCTTTCTTTTGGTGGTATTTCATTGCCACTGGGTGTTTTATTTTTTGCGCTATAAACAAAAAAAGAGCAAAAAAATTTGAAAAAAAAAGTTTTTCTTTGTTTCCATTATAAAATTTAGCAAATAGGTTATGTTTCTCCTTCACTGATGTGCGTTGATGAAGCTGCACTGATAGGCTGCACTGATGGACACTGATAGGCAGCACTGATAGGAGGCACTGATAGGAGGCACTGATAGGAGGCACTGATGAGCTGGCACTGATGATGCTGCACTGATAGGTGGCACTGATAGACACTGATGATGTTTCACTGATAGGTAGCACTGATGGGCACTGATAGACGACACTGATGGGTGGCACTGCTGGGCAGAACTGATGGGTGGCACTGCTGGGTTCATGTGGATGGCACTGATGAGCACAGGTGGGTGGCACTGCAGGGCACTGGTGGGTAGCACTGATGGGCACAGGTGGGTGGCACTGATGGGCACAGGTGAGTGGCACTGATGGGCACATGTGGGTGGCACTGATGGGCACAGGTGGGTGGCACTGATGGGCACAGGTGGGCACAACTGATGGGCAAAGGTGGGCGGCACTGTTGGGCACTGATCATCAGGGCACTGATGATCAGTGCCCTGATCAGTGCCGATATTTCTCTGACAATGACCGGTTAATAAATCACCACAAAGAAACTCACACACAGATTGGAGTAAACTGGTAAGAGCTTTATAGCAAACTTCAATGTAGCTTGGTTACACTGCATTAACAGAATTGGCATGTGTGGATTCAGTTGTTACTTGTGTCAGCTTTAAATAAGAAAAAGACAACACGTATCACAGAGTCTCAGCTAGTGCTAGCTGGCCTGCTTTTCAGAAACTAACCCAATACCCTAAACCTGAGGTGGCTTTACAGTTCCCAGTGAGCAGAGATAACTATCAAACAGGTAGACTAGCTCACTTCAGGTCTTCAGGACCTGATAGCAGGGAGGTAGCCCTAAATAGGAAAAGAGCTCTTTACCTCAAACAACCAATGTTCTCTTAAATGCAGTTAAGAGTCTTCTGTATGCGTGATGGGGCCCAGTTGGTGTACAATGAGAGGAAGTGTGAATAATGATTCTCTAAAGAACAATGCAATAAAGAAAAGGGCAGAACAGCACTCCCCCTGAAAGCAGCAATTGACTTATGTAATGCCCCTTTAAAGCACTAGTCACTAGAAGAGCAAAAGCAGTAAGGTGTTCTGGTGGCAGAAGTGACGGTTGAGACAGGGCAGTCCCTCTCTAGACTGCAAGACTATTGGCACAATAGGAAAAGGTCTCTTTAAAAAGGTAAATTGATGATGGTGGTGACATAGCTGTGGTTCAGCCTGTGGAATGGCTGTCCTTCTATCAACTCTGGTGATAAAGCTGTGTTGAGTGTGGTCAAGCAATAGCGGCTGGAAGAAATAGGCCTCAACTTATAATAACTATGTGCAATGTCCACAAATGTCTGGAGGAAAAAAGCAAATATGGAGCAAGTGTCAGTGTTCCCTTTCCTTGGTAATGCTTGGGACTCTCACCCGAGGGATGGCATCTGGCGCATTCTGGCGGTCTTTCTCTTTCCTCCGATCTGGTCCCACCTGCAGCATTCTGTCCGGTTGCCTGGTGGCAGATTATCTTTCTAGACAATGCGGCAAGGTCAGCAATCAGAAGATTCTCCTTTGTATCCTAAGAATGAGTACAAAGTTTCCTTTGGCTGAGTTGGAGATTGTGATTTCTTCTGCCTGCTTCTCCACCTCAGCCAATTAGGGAAGCTTCATTAATAAAATACAAAGCTCCCTGTAGATTGGCTGAGCAGTGCTCTGCATGACTTGATTTTGTTCAGGGAGTGGGATGGGAAGTTCTTGTCCTGCTGCTGAAACACAGCACTGAATACTGTGTGTAGCTGGGTCTACATACCGTTCATATAGCGTGCACAGTTGCTGCATCTGTTAGAGAAGTAAATGGTTTGTTTAGCCTAAGTAGCTAAGTATATTTCATAAAAACATTCAAAACAACCTTTTTAGGCCTTTGAGAGGGAGGAATGTGTAACCCACTGAAAAGTTATTACTTGCAATACATTAAGATGGACATAGGATGGTGGTGAGCTGTCATTCAGGATCACTCACATGGACAGAATAGCCCTCTGGAACTTGTATGCTGTACACCAGGACTAAGCTGGTGAGCAAGGCGTTCAGGGACTGCATTTCCCAGGAGAGGTAGCATGTGGGTGGGGGCATATGAATATCTAAGCCTGTGAGATTGGCCAGGGGACTGCAAAAATGAGATGACCCCCAAAACAGGAATGATTTTACAGGTGGAGGCCACTGACAATTTTTTCCCTACTCTAGGGTCAGTGTCAATGCTGGCAGCATGAGGTGATACCTGGACTCTACAGAGGTTGCACAGGCAGTCCAACGCCTTCAGGATGGCACTTCAATACGTGCCATTGCCAAAAGGTTTGCTGTGTCTCCCAGCACAGTCTCAAGAGCATGAAGGAGTTTCCAGGAGACAGGACGTTACTCTAGGAGAGCTGGCCATAGAAGGTCCTTAACCCATCAGCAGGACTGGTATCTGCTCCTTTGTGCAAGGAGGAACAGGGTGCACACTGCCAGAGCCCTACAAAATTACCTCCAGCAGGCCACTGGTGTGAATGTCTCGGACTAATTGGAAACAGTCTTCATGAGGGTGAGCTGAGGGCCCGACATCCTCTAGTGGGCCCTGTGCTCACTGCCCCACACCATAGGGCTTGATTGGCATTTTCCATTGAACACCAGAATTGGCAGGTTCCTCACTGGCACCCTGTGCTTTTCACAGATGAGAGCAGGTTCCCCCTGAGCACATGTGATAGACGAGAAAGGGTCTGGAGAAGCCATGGAGAACATTATGCTGCCTGTAACATCATTCAGCATGACCGTTTTGGTGGTGGGTCAGTGATGGTCTGGAGAGGCATATTCATGGAGAACAATCTGCATTCAGATCGCTCTACAGAGAAGAGCTTTGGCTGTGGCACGGCTCTCTCGATGGACGACCCGCCATTCATTGAGAGCGCAGTGCACATGCACCAGTGACATCACTGCTGCTAAAGTAAATATCTCTTAAATGGTGCACATTTAGGAGATATTTATTGTACCTACAGGTAAGCTTTATTATAGACTTAACTGTAGGAAAAAGATTTAAAAAAGACTTTACAACCACTTTAACCCCTGAATCCAGCACTAGTGCATTGAAACTGCCCCCATTCAGTTGAATGGGTCACACTCAGTGGGTGGTACTACACACTGTAATTTTCTGGCAATTTCAACTATGTAATTTTTTTTGCTTAGTTAATATCACTTTTGCAGAAGCACATCCTACAGCAAGGATGAAACGTTGTATAGATCCCCCAAAAAATGCATAGCAGACCTTTGAGCGGTCAAAATGATGACCTTCTCAAAGCAGGTCTGTTAATTATGTGGAAAAATCCCATTGTTCCCTAGCCTCTACTGCAGTTTCTCACAGAAGAACACAGTCTTTTATCTATTCCAGTAGTAGAACTCAAAGACGCAAGTGTTTGGCCCCATTTGCACAATCTTTTGCATGAAAGTAAAATCCCCACTTTTCCTTGTTGGAGGCTGGCTGTTGCTCTGCTAGATAACATGATTCTGTAGTTCTGCGGTTGTGAAGCTCAGGTACTTCCCCTTAGCTCCTTTTTGAAATTGAAATTAGGTATATTTTGTAGCCAGGTGCTTAGCTGGCCAAAGGGAGAAACTAGACATACTGCTTCAGCTGCTTTGTGTGCCTATACAAAACTCTTATACTGGCTTTCAATGCCGTTTAGCATCCATCAAGCAGATGGAGCCGGTGGGCATGAAAGACTTGAGAGACTTTGATGTAGGTCACACTAAACTGTGGTAAATACAAATGGAGTGGTGAACTACAATCCCAAATATAGGTTCTTAACAGGAGGGATTTTTTTCCCAGGCTGTAGAAGAGAGAACTTCCTCTTGCTGTAAGGGGGCTAGATGGTGCACATCACTGCCTGCACCTGCCAGCTGCAGCCCTAGGACTGGATTACTGAGGACCAGAGTACTGAGAACCGGAGTGCTGAGGACTGAAGTCACCCTGAGTACAGAGCTCGAAGGATTGCTGACAGCCAAGCATCCATATCAGAGTTCGCTGTGCACCTGTGACAGGAGAGTGACCACTTCCGGTGTTTGATTTTACTGCTGCTAGCAAACTAAGTAAGAAAGGGGGCTGCCTGTCTACATAGTAGTTTAAAATCACTGTGTGCAGAGTTTAAAGGGATGATACAGATGTGCACCACCTTAAAGAATGGGCCCCACCAATTAGCTGACTGAAGGTTGAAGTCAGGAGTCTTATATTTACCAACTGCTCCACTGGGACCCTATAAAGGAATTCCAGTAAGAGGACTGGCACATAGACCTGTGCATGTGCATGGCATTGCTCATAGAACTGAGCATAGCCACACATGTGCGCAGGGGACGTGGGACGCGAAAGCATGTCCATAGATCCTGTTGACGTCAGACAGGCTTTTCCTGTGTCCTGAGTGTATCCTGTATCTGATTTACCATGATGACCCGTCTTGTGACCTGATCTTGGATTCTGCTTGTACCACTGCCTGCCTATTCCAGACCTCGGCTCCGTTCCTGACCATGCTTCTGCCTATGCTTCTGTACCTTGTTACTCACCTGCTACTGACCTTGGCTGCCTCTGTGACTTCGCTCATGTCTCTGACTTGGCTTCAGACTATTTCTGAGTGCCTGCTTTGGCTGTCCATCATATCAGCTCCAGTTATCACAGTGTGTTTCTGCCTAAAGCCTTCTGAGAGCTTTGACATGCTACACTTCCAGAACCAGCTGTTCACATGGAGTGCCCCTTTAACCTCAGCTGGTCCAGCTTGCAGCACCTCTGCTTCTGGTCTGATGTCCTGCCTGACCTCTTTAGCCTGCACCTCCTGCAAGTTCTGCTATCAACACCTGCTGGCACTTATGTTCCCCCAGTCCCTCAGCACCATCTGTTCCACCTTCAGTGGGGCCTGGACTGAAGATACAAAAGCTAACCTCGTCAATTCAGTCTCCTACCAGGTACATGACAGACCCTAATCTGCACTACTAATAATAAGAGGTACAGTACCTCTCCTGGGTTATATATACTTAACAATAAATATACAGTTATTCTGAGATGTTTACTGACTATTGACTGCAGAGGAGATATTGTGGGATTGGTCCATCACTGCTGTTCATTAGTGATGCTGAGTATTGCTAGGTTATTCATGCTTTAGTATTCTGGTGATTTAGACTAAACTGCTATAATCCAGTAATTAGGTTATTAGCTTACTATGTACAAAACGCTTCTTCCATATGATCATACATACAGTATTTATGCATGTTTATTTACTTTTTTTCCTGTGACAATATACTTGCTTTACTAATAATTAAGAATCCTGATGCTTATTTCTTGATATCCTAACATAGTGTTGTGTGGGATACTAATACTTGTGCTCACATAGGTAAGTGTTTTCAGCATCCCATTATTTAATAAGATGTGTCAGAAGAGACAAAATGTGTTCACAGAGTCGAGGCAAAGAACCA